TGGGCAGTGTTAGCCAGACTCTGAAAGATAAGAAGATTGAGCCATCGGGCCTCAAGTTCGGCTTCCTGGGGCTCGGCATCATTGGCTCGGCATTGTCAAGAACCTCCTCAACACGCCACAGTGTGATGGTGTGGAACAGATCCTCGGAGAAGGTAAGATACCCCGTTCATGCTTTTCGGTGTCTTCGAATATTTCCACTTTAGCTCCGTCTCGTTGTGTTTTTTCTTGAACTTAGGGGCGGGGGGATTACGTTTTTGTTAATGATTTTTGTTTCCAGGAGGTTGAGTGGGCAGAGGGATGCAGGGGGAGTCGGGGGATTGAAACGGCAAAGATTCGGAGTAAGGAACCAGGGGGGTGGGAGGCCGAAAAGGCTTGCTCCTTGTTGCTTGGGTACGATCTACAAGGTTTTCTTCTTCTCATTATTATTATTTATTTCTTTTTTGTATTTATTTCTCGGGTTTGCTAATGTGAAATTGAATTGGTTTTGTTATTATTGTCTTATTAGTACTTTATATATACCTTTATTCTGATGACTATAGGGTGACTCATAAGCTCACGGGAATGTTTTCATTCTAATTTTCATCACACCATTATCATTATCTCTCTTTATATAGAAGCCTTTATGGCTATGTATATTTATTCCTGTATTAAAGAGAAGCATCTGTGTCTTCAAAAGAAAATTGGAGATGGTCTCCACAATTTTATTAAAGTAATTTTCGGCAGATTACATTAAATTTGCTTGGAGCATCTAGGACTTCATCTAGTTTCTTGTGGGCCTTTTCTTTCGCATTATATTTACCAAAATATCACTAAGCCCAGGTTCATTTCATAAATATATATATTTTTTCCGAATTCAACTATGCTTACCAGAGTACTATAAATAACATTTGCGTTCTCGGCTTAGAAAGACTCGACTTCCTGTCTTCCTTTCCGATTGTGGTATGAGCTTGTTCACTGGTTCTGTGGTTGCTGTAATTGACCGATTTATGGCATCTCTTGCCTGTAGACATTGAGAAAATCTGTGGTGGAGGGCCTACCAGCTATAACAATTATTTAAAGTTATATATTCTTGTGTGTGTGGGAGGGGAGGTATTATGTATGTATGTATATTATTTTTTGTGTGTTTGCAATTATGCAAGTATGTTTTTCAATGTGTATATATCTTTTATGTATGTATGTCTTTAAGTATGTATGTATGCAAGTATATATATGTATATATATGCATGTATATGTATGTATATATGTATGTATATATTATGTATATTATATGTATATATGTATGTATATGTATGTATTGTAATGTATTATATGTATGTATATGGATAGTATTTATATATGTATGTATATGATGTATTATATTTATATATGTATGTATATGATGTATGTATATATGTATGTATATGATGTATGTATATATGTATGTATATGATGTATGTATATATGAATATATGATTATGCATATGTGTATGGATGAATATATGTATGTAATATATGAATATATATATCTATATATGTATGTATTGAGTGTCTATTTGTTTGATTTATGTTCTTTCTCTCTCTCCTATTTCTTTTTACGCATTTTTGGGCACAAACCATAAATATACAAAACGAACAGTGAGATACAAATGCAACCTTCCCTGTTTACATTTATGGGATGAATAACCTAGCCTACACTCTCGCCCATTAGTTCGGAATGCATTTTGCTACAACATTCATCTCTTGTACTGAATTGAGATTTTTTTTCTTTTTTTATGAAGAACGTTGCTTCGTCTGTACCTTTGCATACTATTCGTGGGACTCTTGAGTTTTCAAAATCTCTTGTTGCAAGATGGTTGCTCGTAATCATTATGGTGTCGCGTAATCATTATAGTCTGTCAGTAGTTGCATAAAATGGCTTTACTTTAAATATATTCATGTTGACAAATGTAGGAAAGGTATGAATGAGAATGAATAGCTCCACAATACAATTTAACCAATTTTGAATATAGCTTCAAAAATGCATGAAACTGATTAAATATGTATCTTATGTTATGAAGATATTCATTCTCATTCATCCCTTTTTTACACTCACATTAAACACATAAGAGTAGTTTAACAGGATTGTTTCACTTCAGATATGTATCAGTAGTTCTAAAAGATAGTTTCATTAAAAATATATTTATCATTAGTTATGCAAAATGATTTCCCTCTCAACATATAGATAAGCCGAGTTAGAATGCTATTGCCTATGGTTTCTGTAGACACCAGGTATCTGTTGTTTATTTGTTACTTCTTTAGGGATTGAGTTGCTTGTCGAAATGACGGATGATAAATTGGTTCATTAATTCTTGATGCTATGAATTGGGAATAATTCTTGGTGGGTATTAATAGGAAATAATTCTTGATCTTATTAATTGGTAATATTTCATAGTTGTCAGTAATTCTTTACGTCATTAGATTAGGAGTAGTTCTTAAGTGTTCATTAATTTGTAATAATTATTAGTCATTAATTAGTAATAATTCCTAGTCGTCATTAGTTGTTGATAATTCTCGATGGCATTAATTGGGAAATGAATCGGGTCAGGAATAAGTCTGGTAGTGAGGTATAAGTGAAGGAAAGGGTATGGATGTACATCTATTTTATTCGTTGTTTGTAATTTCATTTGATTCTGCCGAGGAATTTTGTTATTGGGGATAATCTATGATTTATCTGTCACTTCCGAAAGCCACGTTTACACGAATGGAACGAGATACTTAATTTTCATTTTCTTTTCTCCTCTTTCTCTTCATCAAAGGGATGCATAGCAACCATTGTATATATTTAAGCAGTGTATACTAGTTCATGCCGTTCAAAGATGAAGCAGGCAATACATCTTGAAAGTCTCTTGTTAAAATAAACAGGATTCCCTTGCTTAGTGGACATATTCCCGAGTAATGACAGTATAACGTGGAGAGGAAAGCAATGGTCTGCTGTTTTTGAGTGTGGGTTGCTTTGTTTATGCGGGTTATTGAGAAAGATTGTTTGGTTAGATAATTGATTTCATAGGAAGATTAGCAGTTTGTGGATTGGGTTCTTAAGAATCATGGTTGATTGAACATTGTTGCTTAAACTTGGCTTTTTATATGAAAAATATAAAAGTAAAATTAGTGTATTCATTGCATCATCCTTGTGATGTTGGCTTTGTAAAGGAATTTCTTTTTTGTAAGGGTACTTTTTCTTTTGTTGGTGTATAGTTGGATATTGTAAATGTAGTTATACTCTTGTGAAAAATTGTGGCTGTGAATGTGCAGTCATGACGCATTTTACAGTCCAGGGCTGTTCTTTGTAATTTTTTGTCCTTGGAAGTGCATCACACAGCTTTAAACAGATGGAAGTCATGACAGAATCTGGAAACTGTGACTGTCAAGTGTCTCATGCTGTGCATCACGTTCCTGAACTATTGCCTTGCATTGCCTCAGCTTGCAGAGTATGGCCAGTCATGTTTTTAACAGGCAATAAATTACTGAAGTACTTGTAAGACAAAAGTGTCTCTGTTTTAGATCTAGCTATCTTTAAGTCTTTAGAGTGACAAAGACAAGAAATGAAGCTGTTCCTGTCCAACAGTATTTAACAAAATGCAGTTTGTATGCAGGTTTGTTTAGTTCTGTTGTTGGCTTTGCCTCTATGCTCACAAGTTTTCCACTGACAGTCTGCTTTGTAATTTTATTGCCTGTAGTTTCTACTGGCATCTATTGTACACTGACCTGAAGTGGATAATAAAACAGCATTTCTACTTGAACTTATATTCTTTAACTATGCAAACAACAACCCTAAAAAATAATATGTGATGGTCATTGGTTCCTTGCATATGGCACTAACCTGAAAATATATGACTTATGATATTTAGGATGAAGCTATGACACGTTTAAGAGGCAGTCAGACAACTACATAGGAAGGAGGAGGCATAGCTGAAGCCCAGGGCGGAGAGGCCCTGACCTCCACCTCTCCTTTGCGGGGCTCACCTCAGACAAGGGGGACCCACCTTCTCGCCACGCGGCTCCAGGCTTGTTGCCTAGGATTGTGAGCGGCGCAGGCTTGGATCTCTTCGAGGCGGGTTATGCAGACTGGCTCGGGGTTGGATGGAGGGCCCCCTGCAGGGTCATCAAAGCACGGGAGTTTCACCTCACCTCGCTCGCCTCTGCGCCGCCTTCCGTCCACAAGAACAGGGCCTATGTGGTTGTCTACTGGCACTCAACGTTGGCACCAGAGGTTTCACTAGCTTTTTTCATTCCTCACACCGGAATTTTGTCCTTAATGTTATACAAGTCACAATTCTCACTGCCTCCGTTGTTATTGCAAGCACTCGGATTTTCAGGCTCGGTGGCCTCACTTCCACTCGACGATTCCACTTGCACTGAACCATCTGGCGGGGATTTTTTTTAACACATCACTTTTTGACGGACTTCTGAAGTGTCTAGCACTAATTGACTGATTATAATGGCAAGTTAGTGGCACTGGAAATGCCTAAAGGGATGTTTCATAAGCGGTGGACGCGTGGCTGGCGGAGTCGTCCACGACGGCCACGAGGAGCTCGTCGTCCTGGTCGTGCCCTTGGCTGGGGCTCTCGGCCTCCTCCCCAGCAGCAGGTCGCTCGCTCGCTTCCCCTGCGCTCGCCGGCCCTCTTTCACCCCCACTAGCCTCCTTGGGGACGCCTGCTTCCGGGGGCGGGGCCTGCATCTGCGCCCGGGGAGCCTCCTCCGCGATGACGAGCCTCTGCCGCGCCATGCTGGTGGGCGTGGAGGGCAGGGAGCTGGGCGACGTGGGCGGCGTGGCGAGGTCGTAGTCGCTGGCCTCCTCCCGCAGGGTTATTCTGGCCGGCACGCCCCTTCCCTCGGGCGCCGGGGCCACCCTGTGGTACGGGTGAGTGGCGCTGAGGCTGCGCTTGTGCACCCGCACTGGGTCTGGGGCGTAGGAGGTGGGCGTAGCCACGCTCAGGCTGCGGTTGTGGCTGCGGACGCTCACGGGCGGCGGGTGGCTGTGCGCGGGGCTGCTGCCGGCGACGCTGAGGGAGTCGCGTCGGATCCACGGCTGGGCCTCCACGAAGTCCAGGAGGTGTTGGAGGAGTTCCTGGAGTGGCGCTTGTTGTCCTGGCCCTTGGAGGAGCGGAAGGAGCGCGTGAGCGTGCTGGGCGGGCGTGTAGTAGTCGGAGCCGTGGCTCTGCGTGTCGAAGAAGTCCACCTTGTAGTAGGCGTCGATGCCGTGGAGGGCGTCGTCGAACAGGATGGAGTCGGTGCGCTGGCAGCCCCCCGTGCGGCAGTTCTGGAGGTAGAGGTCGGGTAGGTTCTCGAGAATCTTGTTGAGGGTCTTCTGCTGGTACTTGTAGGTCTCCCGCAGCCGCAGCAGCTGGTGCGCGCTGAACTTGCGGATGCGGTGGCGCTGGAACACGTAGTTCTCCCGCACGCGGTTCATCTGAGACACCGAGTAGTCGCGGATATTGTTCAGCTGAAAAGGAAAGCCGGAGATTAGGAGACTGAAAGAGGAAGCTTCGGAGATTAGAAGGCAAAGAGGAAGCTTGATAAACTAAATCCTAGGCTATTGCTTTTGTCTTGTTTCCCTGAGGACAAGCGAGGAGCCTCACCTGTTCGAGGTATTGGTCCTTGACGGTGGTGAGGCCCTGGGTGCTGTAGTCCCTCAGGTCCTTGAGATGCTTGGTCTGGCCTCCGTAGCTCTCCCTGATGCGCTCCATTTGCAGGTAGCAGCTCTCCTTGATGCTCACCACCTGCGGGGGGGGGGGGGGGAGACCGGGATTAATTTCAGGGGTCGTGGAACCAGCGCGTTGAATGGTCTCCGGACCCTTTGTGGGCGCTCTTGATATACAGACACTCATGCACACTACTCTCCTCTCTCCTTGTATTCATCTCGAGTAATGCCCAGCCAGGGCCTCACGAGACGGATCTCACCTGAGCATTATAGTTTTCGCGCAGACGCTCCAGCTGTTGGCTCTTGTAGGACTCGACGCTCTCGAGCAGCTTCCTGATCTGGCGTGCCTTGGGGGAGAGCCTGTCCTTGCAGCAGCAGCAGGACCAGCAGCACTGCCAGCCCAACCTGGGGGAAAGAAGGGGTCTTTAAAGTGGGGTCCTCGGGGGCGAGGGGGACAGGGGACGCGACAGTGCAAATGGCGGATGCTAATGAAGGGGAGAAGGGCATGTTGCAGGGAGTAATGCACAAGGGACTTACCTGTCCATGAGGTAGTTGATGAGCTGGACGAGGAGGGTGATGAGCAGGAAGAGCGTGGCGCAGGCGAAGCCGAACAGGAGAGACTCCGTGTAAAGGTTCCTGAGGGGCTGGTCGTCGAGGCCGAGGAACACGACCACGGACGTGTTGCTGACGCTGTTGTAGGCGAAGCACTTGTAGCGGCCCACGTCGGCGCGGCTGACGTTCCTGATGAGCAAGTGGCCCGAGGGCAGCACCTCCATGTGCGGGTCGGACGTGACGGCGGCTGCCTCGAGCCCGCGCAGGTGGTGCGACAGCCAGCCTTCGCTGTCGCCGCTGCTGTCCTTGTGACGGAAGACTTGCTTGGAGGCGGAGAGCCACAGGACGGCCGCCGGCGGGTGCGCGGTCACGTTGCACTCCAGCAGGGCGCTCTGGTCGCCCTTCACGCGGCGCCACGGGTTCGGGGCCTCGGCGGCGGTCGGTGCACGGCACGCCAGCGCCTCCAGGTGCGCGGCCAGCTGGGCACCGGAGCGCGCCGTGCCGTCCGTGCACTGCAGGGGCGCCACGCCGCTCCAGCGGGAGACGTCGCTGGCGCTGAGCACCTGCGGCAGCCAGTGGTGGTGGCAGTCGCAGCGCAGGCGCGTGCCGGCCAGCAGCACCGCACTGTGGTTGGCCACCTGCCGCAGGGACAGGGGGAGCACCGAGAGGGACGAGTTGCGCAAGTCGAGCAGCTCCAGTTTGGGCAGGCCCTCGAAGGCCACCTCCTCGATCTCCTGGAGGCTGGGGCTGTTGGCCAGGCTAAGGGAGCGCAGGGCGTGCAGGCCCGTGAAGGCGCCGTGCTCGACGCGAACCAGCCGGGCGTTGTCGGCCAGGCTGAGGTGCTGAAGCCGTGGCATCTGCGCGAACACGAACTCGTCTATGTTGACCACGTCGGTGTGGCTGAGGTCGAGCGAGCGCAGGGCGGCGGCGTGCTCCAGGGCGGCCAGATGCACCTGCTGCAGCGGGTTGTGGTGCAGGTGCAGCTCCTCCACGGCCGCCGACACCACCAGCCCATCCGGCAGCGCCACCAGGAAGTTGTGCGACGCGTCGACCACGGCCAGGCTGCGGCCGTGCAGCCGCGGCAGCTCCGAGACGCGCGCGTGGCTCACATTGAGCAGGCGGAGGGCGGGCGCGTCGCGCAGCCACTGGCTGTGCAGCTCTACCACCTGGCTGCCGGAGATGTCGAGATGCACGAGGGCGTCGAGGCCGACCAGGGCGTCGCGCGCCACGCGGTGCAGCGGGTTGCCCCGCAGGTCCAGCACCGCAGGCGCCGCAGCCCCTGCAGGTCAGCGGAGCCAAGCTCTGTGAGGCGGCTGTGGGACGCGTTGAGGTGCTCGAGTGCGGGCACGCGCGCGCCCAGCTCACTGCGGCTCAGGGTCATCACGCCGCTGTGCGACACGTCCAGCGTCTCCAGCTGCGGCAGTGACGGGAGGTCCAGGCTCCGCAGGCGGCCGTGGCTGACCCGCAGGTGGCGCAGGTGGGGCAGCCGGGACAGGAGGTGCGCCGGCACGGACGCGTAGCCCTCCAGCACCAGCGACTCCGTGTCACGCGGCGGAAGGGGCGGCTGCACGTCGCCCGCGGCCGCCCGGCACACCACCAGGCGCGGCGGGCGGCACCGACATGCACTGGGGCACGAGGCGCCCGTGCCCGGCCCGCCCGCCCCTCGGGCAGCACTGGGCAGGGCGCGGGCCGGCGAGTCGCCCTCGGGAATGACGGCGAAGCAGAGGCTGGCGCGGCGGCCGCAAGGGCCACGCGCCACAGCCACCATTGCGGCCGTGCGCTCGCCGCCATCACCGCTTGCGGTACCTGCGGGAGACAAGGGTTAGGCTTTAGGGCAGCGGGGGGGGGGGGGTCGGATGCCCTGTTGGGAGGCTTGGGGCGGGGGAATTGCTGCAAAGACTATGCGGCAGTGTTTACAAAACAACGCAGCTATTCTGTTTTGTGCAGATTTACTTGTTTGCTGACTTTGTGGCCGCAGATTTGGTGTTACGTTATTGGGTAGGGACTGAAGGTCATGCAAAAGGGACTCGACTACACAGAGAAGGAAGGGCAGCCGTACTTACTGCCCGTGTCCGCTGCTCTTACAGGTGGTCAGTCGTGGTCGGAATCACACTCGAAGAAAAAAAAATCCCATTGCATACACATCTGACCCCTCCCTCCCTCCCTCCACTACAGGTATCTATGTTATCTCACTGACCTAGTTACGTTTGGCGATGTGTTTCCCAACGTACTCCACTTTGTTTCGAAACTGGATCAGGGAAACGAGAAGCGTCTGTGCACCCCCTCCCCCTCCCAGGCACTAACGCACACGTACTCAGGCACCGTCTCGGCCTCGCAGTTGGAGGGAAGAGGAGGGAAGGGAGGGAAGAGGAGGGAAGGGAATGAACGGAGGGAGCGGGAGAGGGGCAGCTCCGGCTCGGCTGCGAATCTCACGCGACTTCACCTCTGCTAGCGCTCAGCTGACTGCGGCGCAATATCGGGGCCGAGCTCCGCCCGACCCGCTAGACGGACCACACCGCTACCAACACTACTCGCTCTCTCTCTATCTCTCTCCGTCTCTCCCTCTCTCTAGTATCGACGGCGAGACCGCCTCCTCCTCCTCTTCCTTCTCTATCTCTCTCTTTCTTGGTCGAGACCTCCATATCATCTACGTCGTATGTCCTCCTCGGCCTCGCCGCCGCGCCTCGGCCCCCGGAATTGTTCTCGAAGCTTTCGCCGTCACGAGGCGTCCGCGCGGCGTCCTGCCAGCGTGGCGGACCCGTTTCGGCTCAAGACCGACCCTGGATGAGTGGCCGGGGCTCCGTCCGCCGCGTTCGAGCCCCGCGTGCACTGCGGGGCGTGCTCCACGGGGGAATGCACGGGGCGGCCACGGGGATGCACGAACCCTGTAAATATATCCTCGGCCTGTATACTTGGCTATGAGGATGTGGGATGTGGGCGCATGCATCTCTTTTTCTTCAAATACGTAGAGTATATCATGTTCGAGGGTAATTGGTTGCAATTGCTTCGATTTGCCCCCATGGAGGGCGAGGACGGAGGGCGAGGACGGCAGGGGTGGCTCTGGGGGACGCCCGGCCCGCCGAGCGAGGAATCCCCTCAAGTAAGCGGGGGTCGCCGGCGAGGGCAGAGGGACGAGGTGAGGGAGGTCAGGTCACGCGGGGGGGCAGTGGGGCTCTGTATGCTTGGGTATTTTTAGAGGTAGGGTCGTAGCTTTGTCTTCCCTTCCCTCTGCCGTGAGGGAGGGAGGGCGTGCGTGAGCGAGTGAGAGAAAGCTCGCGCGCGCGCCGTGGAAAAAGTAACAAGTGTGCATGCACGGGCGCACGCCTAGGCCCCGGCGGGCTATCCATCAACTCGAGTCGCCGATCAAGAGAAGCCGTCGCGGAGATAAGCTTTAAGCTGGGCGGCTTTCTCACGTGTCCGCGCCCACGCCGGAGCCAAGCGCAAGCACGGTGTAAATTATGATCCCGAGCTTCGTGCTTGCACTTCCCTCCCTCCCCCCCCCCCGTGGGTCTCCCTGTGGGTCTCCCCCGCCCTTGCTTGCTTGCTTCCCGCCTTTCCCCCTTCGAGGCAAACGAAACGGGTGCTTTTGAGGGCGCTGTGTGTGTGTGTGTGTGTGTGTGTGTGTGTGTGTGTGTGTGTGTGTGTGTTGTGTGTGGTGTGTGCGCGCGCGCGTGCGCGTGCGTGTGCGTGTGTGTGTGCGCGCGCGTGCGTGCGTGTGCGTGTGTGTGTGTGTGTTGGGGGTGGGGGTGGGGGGTCATGTGAATGAATATTACGTCACAATATCTCGTGTAGTGTCACTCGCCTTCTACGAGTGAAACTGAGACCATTTGTATTCAAGGAGGGGGGGGTTGGGTGGGGTGAGGGGGGGGGAGATGACTTCAGAGTCCCAAGCAAAAAATAGATCATGTGCACTTATGTTGAATAAAGAGGACATTACCTACCGCGGGAGGCTCTAGGGAGGGAGGGAGGGAGGAAAGGGAAGAGGGAGGGAGGAATGGAGGAAGGGAGGGAGGGAGGGAAGAGGGGGAGGGGAGGGGGAGGGAGGAAGGAGGAGGGAGGGAGGAAGAAAGAAAGAAAGAAAGAAAGGGAGGAGGGAAAGAGGAGGGAGGGAGGGAGGGATGAACGAGTGAAGAAACAAGCAAAAGGGGAAGAAAGAAAGGAAGAAAGAAAGAAAGGAAAGCCAGGCAGGAAGGAAGGAAGGAAGGAAATCCTCGTGGAGTAATCCAGTCGCGGCGGGAGCTCGAAAACCGAGTGTGTGGGAGGAGAAGGGAGGGGGGAGGGGGGGAGAGGGAAGGTAGGGCCGGAGTGGAGTAGCGGGGGGTGGTGGTGGTGGTGTGTGGGGGGGGGGACGGTGAAGCAGCATCGACTCCTCATGAGTTTTAAGCCACGTGTTGCATGACACGGCACGGTGCGGCGGTGGGGATGGGGGGTGGGGGTGAGAGAGAGTGTGAGTGAAAGTATGTGTGTGTGTGCGAAAGTGAGAGTGAAAGGGGATGGAGAAAGCTCATAGCTAAAAAAAAAAGTCTGAATTGACACCTTTGTGTGCTTTGGGTGAGGTGTGGATAGGATAGGATAGGATAGGATGGGATAATTGAGAGATAAAGAGAGGTAGAGAAGGAGAGGAGAAAGGAGGAGAGAGGGAGCAGGAGGGAGATGTTGAGGGAACAACCGGGCCACCCCCCTTCCCCTTCTCCCCACACCTCTCTCCGTATGTGTGTGTGTGTGGGGGGGGGGTGAATATCAGCTGACGGAGTGCCTGGTGCGACCGGCTGGCTACTC